GACCTGCATTCATGACGAAGCAGGTCAGTTCTAGTGCAGGTGTGCAGGTATGCATGCCAGATCAAACTGACCAACTGGCACATCTCAATCAGTCCATCAGCATCCTGCATCGCAAGACCAGAAACTCGTACTTTGTTCCCATGTTGGACGAAGTGTGCCTGGCTCGCTACAATGAAGAATGTCTCTTTTACAGTGTACGCATTCTGCAGGAGGAATCGCCCAGCATGTTGTTGGTGTCGTTCGTCGATTATGGCAACCAAACTGCCATTCGCTTGGCCGACTTGCAACACATGCGTCAAGATTTTGGTGTTCTGCTGTTTCAAGCTGTACGGTGTGCTTTGGCCGGTGTGGGTCCCGCCGACGCCAGTGGCATGTGGTCACGAGCTGTACAAGAGCTCTTTGGTCGACCGGAGTGCCTAGTTGCCCGCGTGGCATGTGGTCACCAGCTGTACAAGAGCTCCTTGGAGTGCCTGGTTGCCCGTGTGGCATACAAAGCAACTACATGTACATCCAGCGAGCCCAAACTGATTGAGCTGTTTGATCAGACACTGATTGAGCTGTTTGATCAGACACTGATTGAGCTGTTTGATCAGACACTGATTGAGCTGTTTGATCAGACACTGATTGAGCTGTTTGATCAGACACAACCATTGAGCTGTTTGATCAGACACAACCATTGAGCTGTTTGATCAGACACTGATTGAGCTTTTTGATCAGACACCACCATTCAACATCTTGCTGAACAAAGAGTTGGTTGTGAACGGTGTGGCCATGCTGTGGACTGCTATTTTTTCCGCTACCCAGAGAGAGCAGTGAGTTAACATATTCTGCTGACTTCTCCAGAGACACGAACCATGCTGTCAACGGCAGCAACCCTGAGAACATGCACTGCATTGAACTGAAAGTGGGCAAGGACTATCCAGTCCACGTTGTCTTCATCTGGCACGTCATCATGTTCTACATCAGGATCATGGATGACCATGCTGTGACCATGCTGTGACCATGCTGTGACCATGCTGTGACCATGCTGTGCAGCAGCAGCTTGACGAGATAGGAGCTTTAATCCCGCAGCACTGCGCTTCTCCTCCAGATGCATCGTTTCAGCTACAGATTGGTGACCTGTGTTGTGCTGTGTTCTCTGAAGATTATTATGATTATAATTATTAATTCAACATCTCCTGGCTCGTCCTGGCTCGTCAGAAGACTGCCAATATATATGAGAAGTCGGGTGGTAGCCAACCACGGTGAACTGAATAATAAGGAGAGAAACAAAGAGAGTACTGCAAGGGGAGGCATGACGAAAATGGTGAGATTATTTAGGACGAAGAAGCTGAAGCTTGAACTCCTTAATGTCTGTGCATGCTTTAAGGCTAGTTGGCAGGGAAGACCAGAGAGTGCACGCAGAGAAGATAGGAGATTTCAGAAACAGGGAGATGTTGGCACGGGGTAATGAGAAGGAATGACGTGTTGATCTGGTGGACACAAACCAGTTATACTTAGCAAAGTGTTTTGGAGCCAGGTCTAATAAGATCATGTGTACAAGGATGCAAAGATGTTGCTGGTGTCGCTCTAAGAGGGGAGATACTGAAGCTAAACTGTAGAGACGTTGGGAGGAGAATGTTTGATTTTTGCGAAACAGGATTTTTAGAAGCAGACGCTGGTGTATTTCCAGAATTTGAAGAAGGGCCTGAGACAGACCGCACCACGCTGTGTCACAGTAATCAAATATAGGTAGAATATACGACGTAAAGAACAATTTTCGGCAATGGTCATTTAAATAGTGGCAGTGAGGTTGCAACATGCCAAGGGAGGAGCTAGCTCGCTTGCATACTGACTGGACCTGTGGGGACCAGGACATATGGCTGTCGAATATAGCACCAAGGTGTTTGTGTTCATGAACAATTTTAACGTTAGCATTGGCTCCTGGAAAGTGCAACGGCTGAGTAGGCGGAGATGGGCTGATGAACATTGCTTCGGTCTTGGCGATGTTGGGCCTCAGCTTCCAAGCTTCCATCCATGCTATGGTGGAGTTAATGCCGGTCTGCATGGAGGTAACGAGGTTGGACGGCGAGCTGTCAGAGCACAACAGTGCAGTGTCATCAGCAAAAAGGCTGACGTCTGAAACTAGAGAGGGCAGATCGTTCACATAAGTTAGGAAAAGGATTGGACCCAGTATGGATCCCTGTGGAACACCAGACACTACAGGTAAAGGATCGGACAAGGAAGCAGAGACACGGACAGTTTGATGACGGGACGACAAATATGACGACAGCCACTGCAGAGCTGTACCACGTACTAGAAAAATGTACTCAAGCTTTGCAAGTAGGCCTCGATGCCAGACTGTATCAAACGCTTTTGACAGATCAAAAAAGACAAGACCTACATGCTTCTTCAGGTTACGATGTCCGTAAATATCCTGGATTAAGCGTGTCAATTGCAAAGTAGTTGAGTCGCCACGACAGAAGCCGGATTGTGCAGAGGAGAGGGCAGGGGTGACATGGTGGTAGAGAGATTCATAGAAGATGCGTTCACAGACCTTGGATATAGTTGGTAGGAGGGAGATGGGCCTGTAATTAACAGCTTGGGAGCGTTGTCCTTTCTTAAAGATCGGGACAACAATAGCAGATTTCCACGCAGATGGGAAGACTCCTGCACGATATGACAAGTTGAAGAGCAAGCACAGGGGATACGACAAGGAAGGCACCAGCAGTTTAAGGACTTCATTTGGAATACCGTCTTTTCCAGGAGACTTGCAGCTCTTAAGACGTTTCAGTTGTTTGCGGACCACACCAGTTGTTGTAAAGACCTCCAGAAGTGGAGCGCCCAGCTCTGGAGCTGGGTGCAGGGGCGGGATTACCCAGTTCGGATCGTCGGGAAGGCCGGGAGAGACAAACTGTTTGTTCAGAGTGTCCGCAATGGACTTTGCCTCAGACTGACGGTTGCCATCAGGATCAATCAAGCACTGGATTGGGACGAGATGGGCTGGACTGCCGGGCTAAAGTGCAACGTAAGGTTACTGGCGACAAGCTCATGATTCTGTTTGTTGACTTTGGGTCAGGGCCGGTCATGCGCAAGGCGGAAGTACAGAGAACGAGGGATGAATTCCTGACACTGCCGTTCCAAGCAATTCCTGCAGGGCTGCAGAACATTCGCAAGCGCTCCTCGGGCGTTTGGTCTGATGAAGCCATCAACTTGTTTTGCCAAGCTGACCGATGACAAGCCGTTGACATGTCAATGTGCCGCTCACCGAAAGCTTCAGGAAGGTGCTACATCCACCCTGGTGCTGCTGTACGATGATATTGATCCTGCAAGTCGTGTGGACATCAGTGCCGAGCTAATCAAGGCTGGCTTTGCGCTGGCCATGCAGAGTGCAGTGAAGTGGAACCAAAGTCTGCAAAGAGAATCTCGCTTGTTTGAAGAAGTAGCAGTCATGGCAGGAAGGGTTTCAGCAGTCAGGGAAGTCAAAGGGCTCCGGTAGAATATTCTCTGTTACTCCTCTAGTCACGACGAAGAGTTTTGCAGCTGATCGAACCGATTCCATCTTCTACACTCAGGGACGGCGAAATTTCTGCGCTAGCTGCTGCTGCGGAAAATGGTGAAGAAATTGGCTCCAGTTAGAGTCGTGATGGCGGTAGAAAGGAAACCCTGGACGACATTGATCCAGCCAATCGAAGTACGGAGATACTAGCTGTTTCTGGGCGTCACACAAAGGGAACATGTGCAGCAGAGCTCATACGTTTGAAGCAAGTTCACGAGGAAAATGGCTTGAAGCGCAGTGTGAAAACTATTTTTGAATTGAAGTCCTTGGCGATGAAGTACTACTGAATGCCAGGCGAATGAGCGTGCAGATCGAGGGGCCCCCACTCGAGACTTTCCTCGCTGGGCAGCTAGGTGCACGGGATTGGAAGGCATGCCTAGATTTCACTTGCTGGTCACCACCAAGCAGACACTGCAGCACACCAGCACACCACATGTATACTATGAAGAGTGGAACAGTTTGAAAGGACGTGTTCTTGCTTGTTTCTGAACAGTTGTACTAGATTCACCCTTCAAAAGGTGCCATATAAACTGGAGTCGGGTTTCCTTGTGGTGTGTAGCGCCAGAGCATGCCAGTACATGTATTCAGTCCCAGAATGTGCTGAGTAAGGAGCAAACAAAATTCATGCAGAACTGTGCAGGTCACTACAGCCTGCGGCACGAAGGGGCCAGAACAAGCCTGCCCCCAAATGCCAAACTTGTCAGGTCACCTACTGGTAAACAAAAATCATTCATGAAACTAAACGGGTGAGGTCGTCGATTTTTCTATTAAATCTTTACTCTCGATCGGCCGCAAGACTACGTTCCCTTTCCATTTCTTCGTGGGTTTTGAAAAAAATTACTTTCATATGTTGAGCAAGACTGACGGAAAGAATCTCTGCGCACGGGGTCTGGAACACCAAACTGATCATCCACTGTGATATCGCCACATACATTTGTGTCCATCGTGCTAAGCTAGCCCCTGAGGGGCAAACAAGCGGAGCCCAGAAATGGCAAAACCGCCCCCTGCAGCAAAAGGTGTGTTTGAGATACTTTTGATACACTATGAGTCGATCCACGCCTGTAGTATTTTGTTTCCTACCTCCCATGCCCAATGGAAGCTGAAAATGGGAAAAGTCACTTTGTGAAATTTTCACCCTAAGCCAGGTTTTCGCAGATTCTGGGCCATGTATCTGCTGGCTGCATCTCAGGTCAGTTTCACCTGCCAACATATGCCAACACATCTGTGACATAGCATATCTGATTCCTTTAACGTAGGAATGCTATTTTTACTACTTCAGCAAGAGTTGGACACAATGTGTAAGATGTGGAGGAAGTGTATTTCATTTGAAGCTTTTCCTGACGGAGATATCCAACATGCACCATTGTGTGTACTTGAAGTATGTATACAAGTACATGTATGTATTTGAGGCATAATGAATTAAGCATTGCAATGTTTGGATACGGCAAATAAGGATTCATACCTGCCATCAGAATGATATGAAAACTTGCTGTTCAACTTCATAGATCCAGAGGCAGCGAGTTGAAGGCCAACTTTGTTGTCCACAATTGTGATGGCAAGGCGCGATAACTCAATGTGGTTGATGATGATGCTAAAGATAGAGGTGGCACACAATGAGAACCAAGTGTTGTCTTCGCCGACCTAACACTAAACTACTTGCTACGTTACTATGGCAATAGAGAGATACCACCCAAAACAGTGTTTTTAGGAAGGCAGTTCTTCAGAGGGAAGAGGAAGTTCATGAGAATAAACCTCAAATCCAGTGAATTACAGTGCCACTAGTCAGAAAAATGATTTATGGAAGATTTTGGACGTCTCAAATTCATTGACCAGTTGTGGATCCGGTTTCAATGAGAATAGGTTTCCTGTGTTCAGAAAGATGAAACCCACTACATAGTAGTACTTACTGGCTTAGACTGTAGTCTACATCCGCTATAACCAAACTTGCTCTTCCGCTGACTTCCTTGAACGTCAAGCGCCTCACTTCATGCTCCAGGATTCTATGGGCTCCCACAGCAGCTACAGTGCATACAGTACAAGCAGACACAAAATGTCACTCACACACAACAGCACACACACACACACAGTTCACACAGTACAAGCAGAAACACAATGGAGCTCACACACTCAGTGGCACACACACAAACACTCACACACACACACACACACACACACACACACACACACACACACACACACACAAACACACGCTTGTACTTGTACTTGCTCACTGCCCAAACTGGTCTTGTGGGTCTCCCCGGGAGAAGGGAGAGAGACTCAAAAGGAATCCTGGAAAGATGACTCAACTGGCTATTGAACCGCCCAACGGCTGACACACCCTGAAGTCCCCAAACTATGGGTGGACTTGGAAAATGATCCCACTTATGGGCTCACCAGACCTCGGCAAGTGGACGAAGACAAGGTGCAGAAAACGGATGGATGGCATCAGGGTATCCGTGCTGGGGTCCAACTGCAGTTACCCCTGCCCCCAGTGAAGGTTATACTTCCTACTTGTGTGGGTGGCTAAGTCAGAGTGGAACTGATACACACACACACACACACCTGTCCTGTCCTGTTGAGCCACTGCCATGAAGGTTACGTGGGCCCCGGAGGGGCAGCTGAGAGGAGGAGCACACATCCCTGTGACGATCCAGGTGATGCGGTAAGCGAAATCGGCGGGAGCAGGCGCAAACACATGTGAAACCCTGACGGTCCTGAACGGTCGGACGACTATAAGTCCGTGAGCAGCGATGACGGGCGCGGCCACGCGTATACGCAAAGCAGTGGTAACAAGCCTGGCAGTGATCGACGCAGCACGGCGGAGAAGCAGGCAGCGGCAGGGGTGCACCGACTGCTGGCTGGGAGTAAGTACACTTGTGCCTTTTCAGACCTCCACGGGACCTCAGCCAACGGCCACACTCTCCACACTGGCATGCACCTTTCTGCTCCGCAACCGGCTTCGCACGCTCAACCCTACACTTGTGGCGTGCGCGATCACTGGGGTGTGCAAACTGTCGGTCGCAGGTGTAGCAGGTGACGGGAGGGGAGAGGGGTGCTGGGCATCTACCGGTGCAGAGTACGCCGAGAGCCAGGTGGAATGCGACTCGCATTCAGCTCGCCATTCCCCCTCGAGGCCGCGAGAACGAAGGTCAGACATAATACAATCCTTCCAGCGCCGACGAGGGCCATGAGCTGTGCGACGCGACGGAAGCTTGCCAAAGAGAACTTCCTTCGGCAGCCGGTAGTCCCCCATCCGAGCAACATGTCCGAGCCATTCAAGGCGGCGGTGCTCCACCTTTGTGCGGATGGTGTCGGGATCACCCCACCTCACACGTGATTAGTGATGTGGTCATCCCAGCATTCTTGGCGAGACACTCCCATGATCGAGCGGATGCATCGGTGGCGGAAGACAGAGAGCCGCTGCAAATCCCGTTGAAGAGGCGTCCAACACTCCGAACCGTACAGCAAGAGCGACAAGACACAGGCGTTGAACACACACCTCTTGATGTGGAGATCCAGGTGCTTGTTGCCAAATATGGACTTTTAAAAAGCGCCACACGCTCGGGAGGCATTCGCAATGCGGGAGTCAACATCGCAGGATGAACGGCCACCGCTGTGAATTACCGAACCCAGATAATTGAATCCGGTGACACAGACAATGTCGACATCAGCTGGACTGAGGGGTACGCGGTCAGCAGCAGACACATCAGCACCAACAACCAAAAACTTTGTCTTTGTGGCACTAACCGCGAGGCCAAATTCGGACGCTGTGTTGTCAAAGGTTGTCAATGCGACCTCGGCACCAGCTCTTGATGTAGCGAACAATGCCGAGTCATCAGCGAACTCAGCCTCCGTAGCGGTAGTGACAGGGTTGGTGCGGTGAGACTTCCTGTAGAGGTTACCAGTGTCAGATTTGTGCGAGAAACTGAAACCAATACCAGGTACACCACTAACGCGCTGCTGCCATCTGCTTACCACGGCCCACATGAAAATGTTAAACAGCACGGACGCCATTGGGCAACCCTTGGGTAGACCATTATCAACGCTAAAGGGATCTACAGTTGTACGACTCATGCGTAATACAGCAGCCATTGAGGTGTGAAACGACTTGATCACCACCAGCATGGGTGAAGGGACTCCAGCTCTAGCCAATACCTGCCAGAGACACTCATGAGGAACCGAGTCGTAAGCTTTGCGCAAATCGATGAAGACAAAGAAACCCTTGGTTTTATGTTCTACTGTCTTCTCCAAGAGTTGGCGGATGGTAAATATCATGTTGGAGCATGATCCGCCACGGCGGAAGCCACACTGCAATTCTCGGAGGAATTCTTTGGCGAGAGACTGGAGGTGTAGCTGAATGGCTCCTGCTAGTGCCTTGCCTACGACATCCAGCGTTATACCACGCCAGTTATCGCACCTGGAGAGGTCACCTTTTTTGGGTATTGGCACCAGCATGGCATCTACCCACTACTGGGGGACACGACCCTCATGCCACACATCGCCAAACAGCCCATGAAGTCTGAGGAACAGCTGCTCGCCACACATCGCCAAACAGCCCATGAAGTCTGAGGAACAGCTGCTCGCCACCAAATTTCAGCATTTCCGGGAGGATACCAGAGGCTCCAGCTGATTTCCCGCTCTGGAGCTTGCCAATAGCACGACGAACTTCCTCCAGTGTCGGGGGACTAGCGAGATCTTGGTCTACCGGCAGTTGTGGGATGGAGTCCAGCGCACTAGATGACCATGTGCTATGGATCTTCAGCACTCCAGAGAAATGTCTCCGAAAACGGTGACCCTGCTCTTCTGGTGACGTGCATAGATTTCCGCTTTCATCCACGACTGCGGTTGTCCGAGCCGGTTTCAGACCTTCCCCTGCAGCTTGGAGATCGTGCATGCACTTCCATATAATAGCTCCGTTAAAACGGGACTCTGTAGCCGCTAGCGCCTTGCTTTCTATCCACTTTGATTGATTGATTGATTGATTGATTTTTATTTCACGGATCCTCCAGAGGCAAATAGATGCCTATCGAAGGGAGTCTCCTAAGTAAGTATGGAAAATGAGAAAGTATGTTCGTAAGGGAGAAGAGGTAGAAGATACATTAGAATATAGAGTACAGAAGAAGTAAATTCAGTACTTCGGGTAGTACATTGCATGCTAATCATAATGAGAATTAGAAAAGCAGCATTGCGGACTACTATAACTGACATATACACAAACTATTGAAACTATCATAGATGTGGTTAGCCTAGACACAAAAGTCAGGAATACCTTTCAAAGAAAACATAGATTGCGAATGATACCGACGAACAGCAATACTAAATTTCGCTGTTGTAGAGAGTGAACGAATATCTTCAGGAAGTTTATTCCAGGCAACAATCAAAGAAAAAAGGGTTGATTTACGAAAGAAGGTGCCAGCTTTAGGAAGAATTATGGATGAAGGGTGACGACTGCTTTGGGAAGAGGGTAGCTAGAAGTGAGACAACAAGGAGGGGTATTGGGAGAATACATGGTGGAAATAGACAAGGCCAAGAATCTGCCGTCGCCATGCTAACGATTCCCAAGAGGACAGAACATTGAGGTCTTCTTTGGAAGTCGTCCAGTCAGGCCGACGCTTGAGTTTACTATTTAAGTATGCTCTAGCAGCAGTAGCCTGCAGTTTATCAAGGGTTGTGGACATGGTGGCTGAAACGGAAAACATCCAAACGGGAACAGCATATTCAAGGAGGGGACGAACATAACACTTATACAAAAGATTCACAGCAGGAAAAGGAAGGAAGTTGGACATGTGGTTTAAAAGAAAAACCCGACCTCGAAATTTGCTGGTAATGTGTTGAATATGGGGGGACAGATTGAGTGAAGGAGTGAGGATGATGCCCAGATGGCGGTGGGAAGAGGGCTGGGTCAGTAACGTACCGGCCATGGTGACGGTCCTGGGATCAGGTGGGTTTGATTTAGGTCTGCAAAAGGGAACATGGACACATTTGTTAGCATTGAAAACTGCTTCAGCTTTATGGGACCAGTTCACACATCTATCAAGGTCTAGTTGCAGGGAAGCAGTGTGCGCGGCGGGTACGACAGTAGGCGGAGAAACGCAGACCATGTTGGAATCATCCGCAAACAGAGTCAGATCGCTGGATTGGGGAATGCTGGGAAGGGAGTTGATAGAAAGGCTTCACACGGGCTGCATCAATAGCCGAGCGTGCCTTCAACCAGGCAGATTTAAATGTGCTGAAGGATGGATGATCGCGGTGCTGTCCATGCTGGATCCACTCCTTGTATGCAGCGTTCCGATCCCCAAGGAGTGGTTGGATCTCTGGACTTGCCTCCTGGAACCAGCCCGGTTGTTGGCGTCCCCAGAATCCGAGAACAGAGGTTGCCGCAGTATCAAGTGCTGACTTGATATGGTTCCATTTACTCGCAATGTTGGCTTGTTCATTCCAATCCTTGGTGAGTTCACTCTCAACAACACTGCGATACAAATCAACTGGTGTAGGCTCGTCATTGGTGTCAGTTTGACTAGATGGCTTGGAATTCCTGAGCTGGGCGACATCAAAGCGCTGTCGTTGTCGGCTGGCCGTGCCCTGCTTGCTAAACCTGATTGGGCTAGACATGTCCCATGACACATGTAGCAGCTGATGGTCACTGCCACACTCAGCATTCCTGATTACTGATACATCAGTGCAGGCACTCAGGTCCTCTTGTCGAACAAGGATGTGGTCAATGCAATGCCATTGGAGGGTGCGAGGGTGTTGCCATGTACGTTTGAACAAGTCACGTTTTGGGAACCAGGTGTTACATATGCACAGTCGATTTGCAGCAGCAAAAGACAGCAGTTCAGCGCCAGAAGAGTTCATGCGTCCAAAACCATGCGTGCCCCGTACACCGTACCACTCGTCGTCTAGCTGCCCAGAGCCAACGCGTGCATTCAAGTCACCAAGTAAAACGCAGTGGTCGGTTGAAGGAGTGTCGTTCAAAGTTCGTTGGAGGTCGTCAAAGAAAATTTCTTTGCTTGAACGACTGGCTGCAAACGTCGGAGCATACGCGCTCACAAGAGTAAAATATTCTAGAGGGCAGTTGACAGTGTTTTGAGCTCTGACAGTCTTTCTCCTCAAAACTCGTCGTAGGTCCCTTCCAGGCCAGATGCGGCCCCGTAAGGGTCGCCTCTGAGCCAACAGAGCGCATTCGACGTCGGGATCACCACGACTTGAGGACGGGACGGTGTTTGTTGCCGTCACCTTTGGTCGTGCCCGTCGTCGCCACTCGCGGCGGTTTGACAAGCCCCCGAGTGGATTTCCACCGCGCAAACTATGAAATTTGTTGCTGAGAGTAGAGAGAGGAGGAGACACTGCCAGGTACGATTCGGGTGTTGGAACGTGAGATCCCTGGTCGAGCGTGATGGCGGTTTGGAGACGGCAAGCGTAACTGGGAATGTCGTTGAGAACAAAAAGATCAACCGTGTCGCAGATGAACTCCGACGGCTCAACATCACGGCAGCCGGACTGCAAGAGACTCACTGGTTCGGAAGTGGCATTTACAGTGTGCAGAATTCTACTGTCCTGTGCTCTGGCCGACCTGTCCCTGGCGGGGGAGACTCTTGCCGTCGTGGCGAGGGTGTTGGCATTATTTTGAATCGTACGGGAACTGAGGCTTTCAAAGCTGCCGGCTGCGTATGGCGTTCTGTCAGCGCTAGTGTTGTAAGTGCTCGTCTATTGTTCACCCTTGCAGATGGGACGTCTGAATATTTTACTCTCACACACACACACACACACATAATAGCAGAGACAATGGCACACAAGCAAGGGGTCGCACACAAAATGCAATTTCTAATGTAATTTCTAATAGAGTAGCTCTCTAATGGATGGAAGTTACCCATACCGATGTGTGTAATCCAAGTTTAGAGAATAACCTAGTTGAAATGATTCGACGTGCATGCTGATCACATTGTATGAACTAAGCTGGGTTGTACAGGTGATACCCCCCCCCCCCCTCCCCCAGAGCCGCTTTCAGAGGGACGTTCCACCCTGGCTATTTCACCCGGGAAGTTCCATTCGGTCTGTTTCATCCGGGGCACTAAACGTGGGCCTGATAAGCAGGGAAACTCTGCACTCCATCACTGTACATAAGTATGTGCATCAGGCATTGTACATTCTCAAGTTGATGATTTTTTTACCCAATGACATTGAGAATGGACAATGCCTACATGTGGATGTGTACATCGAGCATACTTTTGGTACATTCATGGTTTCTTTTTGGCAACTGGTGAATCTCAGTTCAGATGGTGATCAGTATTCAAGCACAATAAAAATAACCACAAGACACTCCAATATGTACAACTATGATTGGACTGAGAGAGCACTTATCAATGTTACCTGAGTTGATGGCTTTCTGGGTTATGGCGAATCGTGAAGCAGCATTATAGCTACTATCTCCGGATGCATTGCAATGAAGAACACAGCAGTCTAGTGCTAGAGTGGACAGGGCTGCTAACAACCATAATGGGACAAGATACCCAGACTTCATTCTGCTGTATCTCACTGCTTCTTGAGAAGCTAGTCCCTGGATAGAGCAGGGTCTGTCTACTTGCCTACTTTGTCTACCTTGACACAGTGAAAAATGCAGGAAAGAATATTTGTAACCCTTGCCTCTCGATGTTCCCTTTTTTCTGAAAGTCACAATACAGAGACGGCTTTACTTATACTATCATTGAGATGCACCATTCATTGAGTCATTGTAACTAGCAAGGCAACATCAGTTGGTGTGTTACCAAACAAGCCAGGTCGTTGCCAGCTGTTCAATTTCCCCGACCCGAGTTACGTAAACACTGAGCTTTTGACACCACATAGGTGTTAATCAGCTGTGAATTTTTCCAGCTGTCTACCTTTTGTTAAGCACCTGCTCACCTGATGATGAATGCATCCCATACCACCAGTAACGCAGTATCATGATTGGAGGTGTGAAACTGTGTGAACGTCCTATCCCATGACTATCCCTTCCCAGTGCACATACTGTGCAAGTGCATTTCACCTACTTACTGTAATTCCCTAAATTTGTCTGATCTCCAATGGGAGTAATACGGTTTGCGCAAACCATCCAAAATGATGCGGCTACAGCAGCAATATTCATTAGCACTAGCCAGTGCAGGCTAAATTTTATTTTTCAAGGAAACCCTTCGAAAATGGTACCAATCGATTCAGCATGGCATTTTCATTCCTCCTGCAAAGTTTCAGCTGATTTGGAGTCATGACAAGGACGTTATGGCGATTTGAAGATCGAAAAACTTCAGTTTTGTTTGTCAAGAAGAAAGGCCATGATCGCACACAAATCATACAACCTGTGTGGCACAATGATTTTTGAACGAAGTAGATCCGCGGACCCCGTGCTTCGCGCATGCACGCATGCATACTGCACAGTACAGAGGCTTTTTTGAACGCAGATATGTAGTTCTTCGTCTTCTTCGAAATGTCTTCCAAATGCGTGGTGCTGGTGTTGTTCTCAGCTTCGTCAAGGCAGAATGCAGCTGCATGTGATGCTCCTGTGTGTTCATGCATGTTCTCTTTTCGCGTCTCGACATTGTAGCGTCCAGACTCAGCTCGACTGGAGAAGATTGAGGAGACTATGCTTTGATCCACATGGATAAATGATGAAATTTGGTAATTATCGTCGGGCGCTAAAAAGCGCTGGGGAGCATGGGGCTAAAACTTCGTAGCAGTCATCCCTACCATGACAGGCATCGACTGGTATATGTTCCATTCTGTTCCCAACCCAACCACTACGGGTCGTCTGCGAAGCTTACTTCTTCGCCGATTCTCGGACAGATCGTACGTCTTCGCACTGTATCTCTCGTCTCCCTCAACAGATCAAAACACGGTTTTCGCCAGGACGAACACAAACCCCCAGATTTCGCGGCGGCAACATCTTCGAGTAGGGAAAAGCTAGCAGCTAACCAGGAATCACCAACAAACACGTGTAATACTCAGTGTGATTTGCGACAGCTGTCATTGTGCCGTCGCACCATGCATGTACCATGCACGGGAATGGAACACGGATGAGTCGTTTTATTACGACAGCCTGCACTGGCTATTAGCACCTTATCATTTGTGCAAGGGTAGCCAGGTCACGGTTGACTGGTGTGGGCAATCAGAGATCGATTGAGAGCACAAGGATGCTCGCTCACTGCACCTTCACAAAACTGAAGAAAGAAAACTCGACAAGGAATTGTTGGCACATGTCAAATCCAGTAATTCAAACTGTTTCAATGCTTTGTTGTGGCAATGTGCCATATTGTCAGTGTGTCATAGCGTCAGTGTGTCATAGCGTCAGTGTGTCGTAGTGTCAGTGTATGGAAGTGTCAATGTGTCCTACCGTCAGTGTATCATTGCATCAGTGTGGAAGTGTCAGTGTGTCATAGCGTAAGTGTGTCGTAGCGTCAGTGTGTTCTAGCGTCAGTGTGTTCTAGCGTCAGTGTGTGGTAGGGTCAGTTTAAGGAAGTGTCAGTGTGTGGTAGGGTCAGTGTATGATATCAGCAAAGCAGCAGTGTCAGTAAGTCCCAACATATCAATGTTTCACACAGTGACTCAGAGTCACAGTGTTGTGGTGTCACTGTGTCCTAGCATTCGCTTGCCTCTACCGCAGTGTGCTTCAAATCCTCATTTTACGTAATGACCCATATGGGATCGTACAGTGAGATCCAGATCAAGTAGAGGGTTTGCAACGAATATTTGTTTAAAATGACTGCATGATTAGGAGAGAGCAAGCATATTCGTACCAGTGAGTGAGCCTTGTGCATGAGCAGATTCGTGTTGGAATATGATTCCAAGGTGGCGATACTGTGTTATGGTTCTTAGTTGGGTTCATCAAAGTCTATTTGGGCAGCCGTGGTTGGGGGTACGTTGCCATGGTAGAACGGGAGGAGGACAGTTTTGTTGTGTTGCATATGCCAGCGATCTAGCTATTCAGCTGCGGCAGTGATGTTTCTCTGAGGTTCAGCGTCTTACTCGATGAAGCTGGCAGCATTGATGATAAGTCCAGTGTCTTCGGCAAACTAGCTATCGGATCGGTGGTTTTATTTGCTAATCATCCCTGTCAGTTGAGAAAGGTTTGACCATAATCTGCACTCTATACATGCTTGTGCACATGAAATGATCTTTCTCAGGCAGATGACAGTGTCTTTGTCTGAATTTCTTCTGTACAGTCTCAGTGACTGTCTCTCATTGTCAGGGTGGTTTCTTTCATGTCTCTGTTTTCCACATTTCTTACAGTGGTAAACCCATGGCAGTTGCATCACGGGGTATTGCTGAAGGCACATGCTGGTATACCGTATGTTATATTTGTCAAAATTGAACATTTTCTGAGCGTGTATTGGACTGGTTCGCTATCGACCAGGTAAGTGTCTTGATGTAAGTTTGGATTTTCATGATTGTGTAGAGTGTAGTCCGCAAAGACCAACACCAGTAATATGCCAATACAGTCGATGGGGTCTGGAAAGGCAGAATTTTACACCATGTGACAAACCCATCCACCGTGTCTTCACCTTATGGAAGAGGTGTTTTGTTTGCAAGCCTGGTTTGGGTACAGCTCTCTTGTGGTCCCTGCACCCTGCTTGCCAGAATAATCCATTGCCCCAAGCCATGTGATGCCGTGAAAGTCTACCGTTGCAGCACTGAATGGAAATAGTGTAGCGGGCCGCAGTCTCTCTCGGAGGCAAGAACGCACAAGGGTGTCAGTGAACACACTGTAATTGGCAATTGAAATGTACTGGCAACGAAATTAACTGATTGGCAACTAAATTAACTAACTAGCTATAAAAGAATCGTGAGCAGCAGCTTTGATACAAAGGCAGACTCCGTACGCTAATGTACGGGGATACAGTACGGGGATATGCTATACTCTAAACACTAAACGCTATACGCTTTGAAGTCACCAGCGTGCCAACGCTACACCTCCCCTCTCAAATACAATCACGTCCTCGTGATTCGAATACTACATGTAGGTGATAGCTGGACATCAACAACTGGCTGCTATTGAGAAAAAACTGGCGGCATGCATGGTCCCGTCGGAATAAACTCGACGATAAGAGATAGGCATAATGGATGACTTGCATAATATAATACAGGTATGGAGTCAATGAACAATATAAATTGTGCACTCATAACCATGTATAAACAATTAAAATGAAACATTTCCAGAACGTTTTCGTGTTACCATCATCAGTGGAACATCGTCACATAGTAAGAATCACTAAAACAACCAGTTATATAGCTAGAGTAATATGAAAAGAAGCGTGAGAATGCAGCACAGCTAGCGGTTATGCATAACGCGTGTAGTGTGAACCTTTGCAGTGTATCTGAGAATGGTAGCAGTAGATGAATGTGGCAGCTGTGAGTGCGTGTGAACAAAAACTGGTGAGTGCGTATTATTTAAAAAGTGTGAGTGCTACAACATTTTCTTTTTGCTTGCATAGAACAGGGTCACGTGTGCGAATATATACAGCTTCCAACACCTGCAACTGCTTCAAGAAACGCGCGTGACAAATAACACTAAACCAGGAATCGTCAAACAACTTACGACAATCCGGACTGGACACCAAATGCTTGTAGATGAGAGTGATACGGACGAGGAGGAGTTCGACATCGACAAGAGCAAGTCTGCCATCTACAAGCATTTGGTGTCCAGTCCGGATTGTCGTAAGTTGTTTGACGATTCCTGGCTTAGTGTTATTTGTCACGCGCGTTTCTTGAAGCAGTTGCAGGTGTTGGAAGCTGTATATATTCGCACACGTGACCCTGTTCTATGCAAGCAAAAAGAAAATGTTGTAGCACTCACACTTTTTAAATAATACGCACTCACCAGTTTTTGTTCACACGCACTCACAGCTGCCACATTCATCTACTGCTACCATTCTCAGATACACTGCAAAGGTTCACACTACACGCGTTATGCATAACCGCTAGCTGTGCTGCATTCTCACGCTTCTTTTCATATTACTCTAGCTATATAACTGGTTGTTTTAGTGATTCTTACTATGTGACGATGTTCCACTGATGATGGTCACACGAAAACGTTCTGGAATTGTTTCATTTTAATTGTTTATACATGGTTATGAGTGCACAATTGATATTGTTCATTGCTATTTTACGACTGTTGTCTCCTCGTCGGTTATTTAGGTATGGAGTCGTGAACATTATAGTAGATCGCGAATTACTGGGAGAGCGTCAACCGGAGTATGGCAAATAATATCGGAAATGATAACGTTTGGAATAGACAGAAGAATGAACTGATAAACAAATCATAAAGTAGAAGCACACCAGGTTCACAGGATCTCAAGGGGTCAAAAGGGGAAAGAACTGTCCTCCAAATAGGACCTGAAAAACCACAGCACTCTTGCTGCACAACGCTGCCACAACCCGCCACGAACATCGCAGTTCAAAAACCGAACTGAATACACTATAACTATAAGGGGCGTTGTCACACACATTGTCCCACGTTAGCTGGGTAAACCGTGGCTCACCATGATCAGACGCCTACCAAACTAAACTGGATTCACACACTCGCATAAAGGAAGACTGAAGAGAACAGGGAGACTGAAGGAAGACAGAAAAGAAAATGCCATACCTGGAATCAGCGTTAGTAACCACGGCGGCGGCTGGAGCTATGGCGGAGGGCGAGCCAGG